CAAGCTAAGGATAACATTAGGAAGAATGGTATTCCAGAGCACTTAATTGTGCTCATAGAACAAAAAGCCGTCATTAGAATAGAACAAAGGACTACTGAATGGCTTAAAAATCAAGAAAGGTATACACCAGGATTGTATCCTTTCACCATACTTGTTACATTTATATGCTGAGAAAATAATCTGAGAAGCTAGGTTATATGAAGAAGAATGTGGCATCAGGATTGGAGAAAGACTCATTAACAACCTGTGATATGCAAATGATACAACCTTGCTTGCTGGAAGCAAAAAGGACTTGCAGTACTTACTGATGAAGATCAAAGACCACAGACTTCAGTGTGGATGGCATATTCATGTAAAGAAAACAAAAATCTTCACCACTGCAAAATCATCATGATAAATGAAAAGAAGATTGAAATTGTCGAAGATTTAATATTACTAGGATCCACAATCAACACTCATGTAAACAGCAATTGAGAAGCCAAACAATGTATTGCACTGGACAAATAGATTACAAAAGACGTCTTTACAGTGTTAAAGAGCAAAGAGATCAGCTTGGAGTCTAAGGTGTGCCTGACCCAAGCTACGATATTTTCAATCGCCTCATATGATTGCTGGGCATATAAAAACTGGACAATGAAAACGGAAGACCAAAGAATTGCTTTTAAATTATAATGTTTGCAAAGAATATTAAATAGACTATAGGCTGCCAAAAGAATGAGCAAATCTGTCTTGGAAGAGGTAGGACCAGGCTACTCCTTAGATTTCTGCAAGGATAAGGAAACTTCATCTCATGTACTTTAGACATATTATCAGGAGGGACCAGACGCTGATGTACAAACATCATCATGCTTGGTAGACGGTGAATGAAAAACAGGAAGGTGTATGAATTGATACAAAGGCTACAACAATGGACTGAAATAATTGTGAGGATGGTGCAGGGCTGGTTGTGTTTCATTCTGTTGTACATGGGCTACTGTGAGTTAGAAATGACTCGGGTGCACCTAACAACAAGTAGCCATATTCCTCCATCATCTGTCCACTTGTACATACTGAAGTCTATAGTGCTGTACACTGGGATAACTGTGTTTTACCACAATGCTAAAAGCTATGCCCCAGTACTTCAAATACCCACTGGCTGGTAAGAAGCCTTACCCACTCACCCCAATGTCTTTCCCCAGAGATGGGCAGAGCCATCACTAGGTGGGGATGGAGGGGGGAGCCAAGCTTGAGTGCTCAATACCCCTGCTCACAGATTGAATCACCCCCTTCTTGGGAAGCTCCCCCTTGTAAATAAATAAGAATAGAAATGGCCCATATTGAAAAATAATGTTGTTAAAACGACTGATTAAGTTTTACAGAACCGTACGGGAGCAAACTAAAACGTTTTAGCTTTTTAATTTAAGAAAAGAGGAATATGATATAATTTCAATTTGTGATAAGATCAGATGTTCTCGATATTGTGGTTTCAATTGGATTACATCCTAATGTACTTTATAAAGTGTCAGGCCGGCTGCAGATGGAGGTGTGTGTGTAATACTCTTTATTAACAATTTAATGGGCTGGTGTTCACTCGATCCGTCTTCATCAGTGTTTCGGGCCCACCTGGGAGAACTTGTTAGTGAGTGAGTACACAGCCAAAACTCCAGCCTGGGATGGGAGCGCAGGCAGATTCAGCAGCTGGTCAGCACAAGGGGAGACATCCAGGTGGACTGGCTACCTGGTCAAAGCCACCTCTGAAAAGCTCTGTAGAAAGACCTCAGGAGTCCCCGTAGAGGTCCTGGCTAGGGAAGTACAAGGAGGGAAGGTGCAGGGCATGGGAGGTTCAGAGCCTGGGGTCACAGGGCAGGGAAGTGCAAGGGAGGGAGGTGCACAGCAGGGAAGCACAGGGCAGAGAGCTTCAGAGTCACAGGGTGAATGGGAGCCAAAGTAGTTGTAGGGAGAGGGAGTTCCCAGCCTGCAAAAGGCAGAGATAGAACCTCCTCTGGCTGCGCTCCTCCTGCCGGGTGAGAAGCCTGAAGAGCCCAGGGAATCTGACCACCAGAGCTCACATTCTTGGGGTGCACAGTCCCTGACCCATGTGCTCGGAGGAGCAGGCTGGGATGCTCCCACATGGAGGTGGAAGACAGGGGGCCCAAAGTAGGCAAAGTGGGGTAAGGAAGAAAGGGAGTCAACTTGGGCCAGTGGTCTTCATTTCATCACTTGTCCAGACCCCACATCAATAGGGTAGGCCTGGTGGAGGTCTGGCCCATGTCCCCAAACCCTCTGTAACTTGAGCTTCCTCGAGGCTCATCCTCCACAGCCAATGGGACCCCACAAGCCCCCTCGGTGCCTTCCCAGATGACTCCCACTGACCCCTAGAGTGGTGTGAGGCCCAAAGGGGACTTCAGGGACACTAGGCTGCATGTAACCCCAGGAAGGTTCTGTGGAGATCCAAAGTCTTTCTTCCCAGAATATGGAGGCAGGAGACAGCCAGCACCTCAGATTTCCGCTGCATGGCCGAAAGCTCCTTCCCTATCTGGTCCTCACTCTCACCTGGAGTACAGGTAAGCACTTCATTGATGGAGGTGCACAGGACTGAAAGCCCCTTTTTGGACCTCCTAAGAAGCTCTGATAGCATAGTGGTTACAAGTTGGGCTGCCAACTGCAAGGTCAGCAGTTCGAAACTACCAACGGTTCTGCGGGAGACAGATGAGGCTTTGCTCCCAACCTCGGAAACCCTGTGCAGGGTCACCATGAGTCGGAACCAACTTCACGGTACTTAACAATAACCCAGGACCCCAGCGCTGAGAGCTAGGCAGTGATGGTGATTGCAGGACCAAATAGTGTCCTGGTAGGGGTGCCCAAATGAAGTTGTCAAAGCCCCACCTGCTTCCCTACTAGTTATACCTGGGGAGGCAGTGGAGCCCTATTTTCAGGCTAATTCTTCAGTCCTAGCGTGAAAGAGGAACCCTAAGAGCAGCTCCTGCCTGTGGTCCCTGACCCCTCTCTGTGACCACCAGGCCCAGAACCTACTCTCTCCCAAGGGCTCACTCAGCAGGGTGAGTTCACAATCCTAACATTCCTGAAAACCCCTTTCTACCGGTTTAGGGCTCATGCACACCCCCATCTCAGCCTTCCTGGAAAAACGGCTCTCAGGGAACCCCCACCGCAGCGCCTGAAGTCATGCCCCAGAGTCCAGCCTGGGGCCTGCATCTAACCTATTGTGTGAGTGAGTTCTGTAAGCCTCACTTTCCCTGTCTGTAAAATGGAGCGGCTTCAGAGTCCTCCAGGCCCACCTCTGCTAAGTGGCACTTTGCCTCCCCCTGGTGGCCATGAAGCCACATTGCTGAAGCTGGCAGCCCAGATTGCCGGTGGTTGTTGTTAAGAGCCATTGAGTTGGTTTCAACCCATAGCAACGCTGCATAGGGTTTCCAAGAAGTAGCTGGTGAGCTTGAACCACCGACCTTGCAGTTCAAACAACTTTGCAGTCTGACGCATTAACTCACAGTACCACACCAGGACTCCGGTTGGGAGGGCAGAATTAAGGATCCAAGTGTGAGGGACCAGCAGCTGGGCTTGACACACGTGGAGCCCAGTTGTGACAGCCTTCATCCTCCCAACACGCAATGATGGCTGAGACTCTTCTCAGAACCCCCAGGGCACCAAGCCCCCCATCCAGACACCCCATCTCTCTTCCAGGACTCCAGCCCCCAACACACTAGCACCCTCAAGCTTCTAACCCACCTCTGTCCGGCTCATCTGCCTGTGGCCCAGGTTGGGGTCTCCCCTCAACAGGCACCCCTACAATTCTGCCAAGCCCACTGTGGGCCGTATTCCACCTTTCTTCCAAAGCAAAGGTCTACTCCCATTTCAGAAAGAAAATGGAGATTCTGGCTCATAGGGTAGCATGTTCCAGCCCTGATGCTAGGTCCTGGGGTCATCTCAGGAAGGGACTTCAAGATTGAGCAGAGCTGCTGGAGCTCAGAGACCCTGATGTGGGCTGAATCGTGTGCCCTTCCCCAAAGACATGTTTGAGTCCTAACCCAACACCTGAGAATGTATTTGTAAATAGGGTCTTGGCAGATGTCATTGGCTAGGTTAACAAGAGGTCTCACTGGAGTAGGATAGATCCTGATCCTATAGGAGAGATGTCCTTATAAGAGAGACACAAAGAGAAGATGAAAGCAGACATTGGGGTGATGAGGGCACAGCCCAGATATGCCTGAGGCCACCAGAAGTTGGGAGACACCAGGAAAGATCCTCCAATAGGGCCTCCAGATGGAACACAACCCTACCGACAGCCCGGATTCAGATTGCTGGCCTCCACAGCTATGAATGAATGCCTGTCCTGGTTTGTCCCCAGTTAAAGCTGATAGGAGCCAAAGGCAGCAGTGGCCTCTGGTGACAGAGTGGAGTGCAAAGTCGGGCAAGACCCAGGCCCTCTGCTCTCCCTGGTTCTTCTCCTGCCAACAACAGAACCCATGACCCTGATTGCAGCTCTGCTTGTACCCCCTCACCCACAGGTCCAGGAAGGACACCAAGGGCTCCCCAACACCCCTGCGCTCACATCCACAGCAGCTCTGGGCCCAACCAGCTGTGACTGTTTAAGTGGATGCCGCCCTGCCCCAGGAGGCGGACACTCCAGACCTTGAGCCCCTGGGGACACGGAGCCCTCACAGTCAGCATCTGGGGCCGTCTGCACCTCCGTTTGCCTCAGCATCGCCCCCACCCATCTCCTGTGGGTGCACCTAGGCCCAGAAACCCTTGACACCCACTCTACAGTGACCAGACAAAGACCAACAAGGTCAGTGCCAAGTCCAAAGCTACAGAGCTCATCCAGGGCTGGGATGGACCTGGAGTCTGAACCCGCCAGGCTGCAGGGATGGGCACGAGGGGGTGCCCAAGTGACAGACAAGAGACAACTGTGGTCAATCTCTTTATTGAGGCTTTGGACAGACTCCACACCTCTCTTGCACCCTGAGACCTGTCCCCAATGCGGGTCGCTGCTTCCTGACAGCCATTTACTCTGGAGTCTTGTCTTTGGACTTGGAGGTCCAGTTGGGAAAGCGGAACTTGGTCTTCTTCTTCTGCCTGCCTGTGCCTTTCTGGAGGTCTGGGGGCAGGATGGACAGTTAGACACTGCACCAGGTTCCCCTTCCAGAACCTTCCTCCCTCTGCATCCTCCTGTCCCCAGCCCTACCCAGTGTAGATCACTGGATGTGCATGGAGCAGGCTGGGATCCCTGTCTAGGGTACTGGGGGTCCGCAGCAAGCGTGGTCCCGACTGCTCACAAAGAGACTGCCCCACAGGTGCCCCCCCACTGGCCCCCAGCCCTGTCCCCCACATCAGTACCTATCCTCTGGATCATATCCTGTAGCATCTGGTCCTCCTCCTGCTCCCTGAAGTGGACACAGACGTGGTCGTGAGGGTACTGTGCCTGGAGAGGGCCTCACTAGCCTAGGACCCTAAACCCCCCAATGCCACAGCCACCTGCCTTCTGGCTTCCCCATAAAGGGGCAAACCCCCTTGCAGGTACCTTTGAGCACTGGACTTGACCTTCATCTAGATCTGGGAACAAGGACACTAGGGGCCGTCAGCACAACAGAGAACCCTGTGGCCCTGTGTTTGAATTCAATTGATGTAAATAAAAGAAAAAATTTCCCCAATATTCTAGACAGAGCAGGCCATGGAAGGTTCCCATCTTCTGGAATGTTCTACCTGGCACTGACCCTGAGGACCATGGCCACAGGAGTAGGGAGGGGCTTAGTAACACTGAATGAATGATCCTATCAGAGATGGAGGGACCTGGCTCTTCGCTGCTAAGTCAGATGGGAGTTAGTCCCCACCTGAGCCGGTCCTCGTCCAAGCAGTCAATGATTTCACTGCGGTCATTCACGGTGTTCACATACTGGCTCAGCAGCTCTTCCTCCCGCTGCCGGTCCCGGGGTGACTTCAGGGCTTCTGCAGGAACATCTGGGATATCAGCGAGGCCCTGGGTCCCAAGGACAAAGTGTCCCTCTAACTTGTTGGATGAATGAGTGAGTGATTAAACAAATGAGTAAGTGAACAAGTAACTGATTGAATGAATGAACAAGTGATTGAATGCATGAACGAGTGAATGAATGAATGAGTGATTGAATACATGAATTAGTGATTGAATACATGACCAAGAGATTGAATGAATGAGTGACTGAACACATGAACAAGTGATTGAATGAACAAGTGACTGAATTCATGAACAAGTGATTGAATTCATGAATGAATGAGTGATTGGGTGAAATGAATGAGTGATTAAATGAATGAACAAGTGACTGAATACATGAACTAGAGATTGAATGAATGAGTGACTGTATGAATGAGTGATTGAATACATGAACAACTGATTGAAAGAATGAATGGAAAAGTGATTGAATAAGCGGGCAAGTGATTGAGTAAACAAATGAGTGATTGAACAAACCAGTGACTGAATGAATGAACACACACAGACTGAGTACCACGTACCACCTCTCCTTCCCCCAGCATTTCACTGCATCCTCACAAAATCCCTGCCCTTGTTGCCTCTGCTCCTGGCGCCCATGAACAACAGAACAAAGCGGTCCGCATCATCTTCACCATGGATGATCTACTAAAATCCATGGTATTCTGGATTCATACTAAAATCCTAAAATTCATACTAAAATTCATGGTATTCATAGTAAAATCCTTCCAACCTTGGAGGCTCACTTTCCAGCACTGTGCCAGATTCGTTGGTTAACTTTCAGAAGTGGATCACCAGGCCTTTGTACCTAGTCTACCTTAGCTACAACTCAACCTACCGCCACTGAGTTGATTCAGACTCATAGCAATCCTGTAGAACAGAGCAGAGCTGCCCCATAGGCTTTCCAAGGCTGTCATCTTTATGGACGCAAACTGACACATCTTTGTCCTAACGGAAGTCTGAACCACTGACTTTTTGGTTAGCAGTCCAATGCTTAACCCACTGTACCACCTAAGCCCCATTTTCTCCTCTGAAATACCACAGGTGACTGCTGGTATCTGAAATAACAGTGACATCGCTTCCAGAATCACAGCAACCCCCAAGCCACTATGATGATGTATGTCCCTTCCACTGCCCCCTGCCTCAAAACAGGGCACGGCCAAGGTGGGAGCGCAGTTCAGGCATGTTGGAGCCCCTAGCCCCTGGAGTGCACACTACCTGCCAAGTCATTAACAAATCCCATTCTCACAACAGCCTAATGGGTATGGGAAAAGGCATGCAGAGCTGGAGCAATGTGGCCACATAGCACACAGCCCAGCAAGCAAGCAGGCGAGCTGAGATGCAGACTCAGATCCAAGCACAGCTCCATCACCGCTCCCCTTGGGCAACCTCCCACCCACCCATTCTCCAGGCTGGGCAACTCACCAGGCATGTCCATCAGCTGCCGTAGCTCCCCCTCCAGGCCCACCTGCTGCTCCTCCAAGTGCTGGTCTTTAGCTCTGCCCAGAACAGGGATCTGAGGCTCGTCTCTGAGCAGCCCGTCCTGCCCCCCAGGGCCGACACTCACTTATACATCAGCTCTGACTCCTGCCTCAATAGCAGCTGCTTCTCATGAATAAGCCGGAACCAGTCAGCCATAAGGACATCTTCCGAGGAGTCTGCAAAGAGCACGCATGCTGTAGGGGTGAGCTAGCCTGGGCCAGCCTCATCTGGGGCTAGCCTCAGACTCAGACGTGGAGATTCAGGTGCAGGGCTGATCTGGACCAGGGCCACAGGTATGCACAGAGGTGCAGGGGTCAAGTTTGGCAGTGGACAGACACCAGTGGCTTCGGGCCAGCCTGGGCCTCACACATGGAGCCTCACCTCCCTCAGCCTCCCGCAATCGCCTCTCCAGCTCCACGCCCTTGCTCTCCAGGATGTCCAGCTTCCTCTGGATGTCCTGCACCTGCCACTGGATCTGCTCCTGAGTCAGGCGACCCGGATGTGGCTGCAGACACGGAGTAGTGAGGGGTCACTAGGGGCCAGAAGGGTGGGTGCCCCCCAATCCTCACCTGACCCCAGCCTACTCACCCTGATGGGTGAAGTCACAGCCTCGTAGGATGGGGTGGGGACCCCAGAGGAGCCTGGGGATCTCCCTGTGGAGGGGGCAAGATGAGCCAGGGCCTAGGGGCAGTGAACTGATGTGACCCCACCCACCCTGATGTTCTCTACTGTGCACCTCTCCCCCACGGCTCCCCTGTCCCAGCCCAACAAGCACCTGGGTACCCCACACCCTCTCAGCTGAGGTCCCAATGGTGAAAGCTTAGACAGACCTGGGCCCTGTCCACATGAAGGTCCCCCTGCCCCATCTCAGATGCCCACCCTCTGATCAGCTGTCTCCCCATGTCTCTCAAGCTGCCAGGAGAGACCACATCATTATCACCAAATGTCGATGACCACAGGAACCAAGAGGCCTGAATTCTATTCAGCTCCCATCCTGGTCACAGGGGGCTTGGTCTCAGAACCACTTTGCTCCACTTCCAAATTGGCCAAGCCTTTAGGTGTCTAGGAGGCCCACCCCTCCATTCTAGTCCCAGGAAGCTCCTATTCATCCTTCAAAGTCCTACTCAGTATCTCCCTTACAGCAGATGCCTCCCTCCCCTCTTTCATGGAAGCTGAGAGTCAGGGTCTTTGGGGCTGACCTGGCTTGTCCCAAGGGTGGGTCTCTGCCTTCTTCCAGCCAGGGACCTTGGCTTCCTGCCCTGAGGGCTTGGGCCACAGCCCAGTCACATTCAGACTGTCAGGGACAGCCAACCTCCTCCGGTAAGACAGAGAGGGCGATGAAGCTGTCCAAGGGAGAAGGCAGAGCCACATCAGAACAGTAGGCTAGGGACCCTCCCCACCTCTCATTGCTTCCCTGAGCCTGGGTCCCACCAGGTGGTCAGGAGGAGCCTGAGTTCTGTCCAGCATGGAACCACGACAAGGGGTCAGCCTATCTACCCATGCTCAGCCTGACTGACCATATCCACCCAGGTGTGGTGCTCAAGAGGAAAACTGAAGCCCAGTGGGTGAACCACCAAGGACCACACTCCTCTGGCTGACTAGGACCTTAACCCAAGTTCCCAGGTGGCTGATCCCAAGGAGGACTGCCTAGCCCCAGGTTCCATGGTTGGGCAGGTAGGCACCTGAGAAGTCAGATTCAGAAGTCCTGTCATACTGCGGGTGGGTCCGTGAGATGTGGATACTCCCGTCGGAGCTCCCTAATGCCTTCCTGGGAACATCCCCGACCTTGGATTCTCCTGGGGGCCAGGGTCCCTTCACTTCCAGAGTCCTGGATGGAGAGAAGGAGGTGAGTCCCACTGTTGGGCACCAAAGCCAGGTACAAATGCACCCACAGGGACACACCAGCTGTGGATCGAGGAAGGAATTTGTCTGATCTGATGGGCACCCACTACCCCACTTGTAGGCCTGCACACTTCTGGGCACCCAGGTGTATTAATGTCGTTTACCTGTGCACCTACTTCCATAGGTGTAAATACACTCAGGTGTGCACAGGTAAGTTGCTCACAAGTTCAGGCCCAGGCCCTATGCATGCATGGGTATGGATAGAAGCCCCTCGATCCAGGCATGTGCTGAGGAGTCAGGAGAGGCAGGCACCTGTCTAACCCTCATAGGTAGCGTAGTCTCTGTCCACTCCCTTCCATTTCTTATCTAATTTTCTCTGGGGAACTACCTCTGGGGTCAGACCTGCTCTCATGCTCCCCCCTTGGATGACACAATATGGAAGAGGGGAACCCTTTGAGTCTGCCTTGGTTCTAATGTCCCCTCACAGGAGCAGACACGTCATTTAACAATGTCCCCTGCACCACCAAACTGCCTTCTTCAATCTACAGCTGATGCTCAGGCACAGAGATGTGCAAACACCAGGTGAGCAATGTATCAGAGAGACCGCCAGGCCTTTCTTCTGAGGTACCTCAGGGTGGGTTTGAACCACCAACCTTTCGGCCAGTGGCCGAACCACTTAACATTTGTGACAACCAGGGACTCCTCTGTTGTTTCTGTGTCTTTTCTGCTCCTTGTATGAGGAGCTTCAAAAAGTCCATGGAAAAACAGAATTGAAAGATAAGGGAAGCCCCCTCGTATTGTACTCCAAAGTTATAAAAAGCCCACGTTAATTCTGGGAATTCACACATGGAAGTCACACAGGACTGGGTCTCAGCAGCTGATTCCCCCTAGCCAGCCGCCAGCCTCACCTCTCAGGGGGGCTTTTCTTCTCCACAGGTTTCAGGAGGGCCCTCCACCCTGCTGGGCCGTCCTCCAAGCCCTGCCTGGAGCCAGCACTCGTACCTGGGTGGGACACAATGGTGGACATGATATGGCTGAGGGGGCGGGTCCTCACCCTGCACATGTCCCCATGGAGATGTCCTACCCTCTGACACCCCCAAAGTCAACAGGAGGAGCACTGGACTGGGAGTCCAGACACAAATGTTCGTTCCCTCTCTAGGCCCTAACTGCCCCTCCAGCCACGTGGTCAAGGGGCTGAACAGTCCCAGTCACAGAGGATTGGGCTTGATGGATGAGCTGGACACAGTGATGCCACAGCAGCCGACCCAACAAGGTCCTGGTGGGAGGTCCCTGTATCCCACACTGCCCACATCATCACCTCACCCATCACTATTGACCCCAGAGGTGACCACTGAACACTTCCTTCCAGCCCAGGATGAAGCAGAGGTCCAGGCAATATTGCTTGGACCTGGAGGCACCCCCAGCCCAGCCCTGGAAGGGGACTCACTTCTCCCAGAAGAGCTGCGGGCCAGGGAAGATGCTACCCCTGACGGCTTGGCTTTGGAATGGGAATCCGAGACAGATGAGGAGGCTGTGGGCGGCCTGTGGGTGAGAGGTGGGCTTCAGGCACAGGTGTACTCAGTGGCACCCCCATAATTCCTCCCAAAAAAGTCCCTCAGCCTGCAGAGGTAGGCCAGCATCGGGGGGCAAGGGCTCCTACTACATGGCCAGTGGCTGAGCATACTGTCCTGTTTTGCTGAGATGAAAACACCCCTAACCCCCCCCACACACGTACATACATAGACACACACACACAAGGAAGACTGGGGGCCCTAGAGCTGAGCCCTGGAGACCCCTGCCCTGAGTGGTGGCCGCCTGAAGGGTCCAGTGAGTCTTACAGCCCCTCCACGTAAGTCCTGCACATGGCTGCATGCATTTGTCACTCAGAGCCCAGGACAGAGACACTAGGCCCCCAGGGCAATTGCTCTGTCTACACTGGGCCAGGGCTGCTCCTCCTCCCCTGCCCCCTCGTCTTCTCCTCCTCTGGGTCAGGGTGGCCAGTCTGAGTTCCTGGAGGAGCTGGGCCCCTTTCCTGTCAGACACCCCATAGGGGAGCCCCCATGTAGCCCTAGATCCTCCCTTAGCCACACAAGTTTGTCCCTAGGCAATGACTGGCAGGAGGAGAGGTGGTCACACAGGCCTGAGCCAGGAATGCACAACATTTCATAAGTGAACAGTGTGTGAGCCAGCTGGGACCATCTGGCTCTCCACTCTCTAAGTGACCGTCCTTTATTCGGTCAATAAACGTCAGCTCAGCATCTAGCATACGGAAGACCTCGGGCATCACCAGGGTCAGACAGACTGGCACCCCAACCCAACTGATGCCTGTTTCCCCATCTGTAAAATGGGTGAGTAATGACAGAGGGGTGTGCCACTACAGCACAGAGGGTACTCCGACATGATAACCATGGCCCCCCTTCCCTACCCACCCTCCAGCACTCCACTCCCACTGCCTCATGCTCCCATTTCTCAGATCCAGGAAACTGAGGCCCAGAGAAGCATCCCCCAAGGTCACACAACTGGGGGAGTGGGACAGAGCTAGGTCCCCTCCCCAGGCTGCTCCTAGCCCCTCTGGCCTCCTGGGCCCCCACTCCCAGTTCCTTCCTCCTCCACCAACCTGCTAGGTACCTCCTGGAGCCCCGGGAGAGCCTTCCTGAGGAAATTTAGTGCTTGCTCTCGACTGCTGTCCCCCAGGGGCCTGTCGACCACACGTGCATTCCCAGGTTCCTGGCTGGCTAGACCATTGCTAGGGGTCTGAAAGAACTTCTCTCGGGCCTGCTGGGTCCTGGAGGCTGAGGAGGTCCAGGTCGGCAGAGAGTCCAAGGTGCCCACAGATGCTGTACCCGAGTTGAGTTTGCTCTGCGAAGTCATCCCTGGGGGAGCTACCTGAACCTGTGGCACAGCTGGGTGAGGGTTCCGGGCACTCAGGGATCTTGCTGGCTGAGGCCTGGCTGCTGAGGTTCCCTGTGCCGGCGAGGACCACCCGGCCGGGGAGCAGTTAGTCACCTTTGTGCTGGTTTTGTATGTGGAGCTGGGGGCCACAGGGTCTGAGGGGTGCCTGGACGTGGAAGGGCTGCCCCCACGAAGGTGAGAGGACGCAGCAGCTGATGGAGAGAAACCTCTGGCCACTGAGCCACCCATCACAGACTCCTGGGCCGGCTGCCCATTCTTCCGTGAGGTGCTGGGGGGCCTGGAGTTCACAGGAGTGGCCCCTGAGTGTCTGAGAGCTAGGCTTGGCGATTCAGGGCTTGCAGAAGTGGCTTTGGAGTGGTGGCTGGTGCAGACAAAGACGCCTGGTTGTCCCGTGGCTTTGTAGGCCCCTGAGTGTAGTGTGCTGGAACACTGCTTACACCTGTGGGTGGGGGAGAACAAACCAGTGGAAGCTCCTGGCTCTGGGCCTGGGCTGCATCACTCATTCCCCATTTGTCCATCATGCTCTCGAGCTCTCCCTAGAGACCACCCTTGAGTATTTCTGTGTCCACTCATTTGGTCGCTCATTCATTCAACAAACACTTCTTTTACTGTGTCTTGGCCATGGAACCTCAGGAAGTGTTTGTATAAGTGAACACACAGACAGATAGGCCACCCTGAAAGCCACTGCAGAGGCCAACCTTGCAAGAGGGCATCCAAGGCATGAAAACTGGAGTCTGTTTGCCTGAAGTAATAGAGGAAGGAGAGTCTCAAACAGGAGGAGATGGACTGTGTGGCACATTGCCTCAATGAACAACTGCCTCCTGCGTCATGGGACCAGAAGAACTGGATGACTTCCAGCTACCACGAAAAAAATTTTATAGAGGACTCCTGATCAAAAGGAGAACAGAACCTCACATTTTCATGGACTCCAGACTTCTGGAGTTACAGAGACTAGATAAACCTCTGAAACTATTGTTCTGAGATCACCTTTACACTTGAAACCAAAAATCTTCCCCTCAGGTCTTCTTAACGCCACACTAGTAAAGAATATCTGCCTTGAGCATTGTACGCTTTAAAGATCGATGTCTATGGGATCACATTCAAAAGATGAGGTAGGAATCTTACGTGGCAGTGAGTTTCTGTGAATGGGCAAAGTATAACTCTTTAAAGGAGAACAAGGGATGTTACACAACTCAGAGGACACCATCCATGAAACTGAACGGTGCCTGTAGGACCTGTGGGCTTGGTGTACGTTTTGCTGTGTATATTCTCAACAACAAAAATAAATAACATAAATAGCTTGTGGTCTGATGCTGTTAAATGAACTAATAGAATAAGGGCGGTCCTTGTCTTGCTCTCCTGGAGCGCTCAGCCCCATTGGTGTAGATGGTCACAGAATAAAACGCCCCAGAGGATAAGCATTGAATGACTAGCCACAAGGTGGGCAGTTGAAACCCACCAGCCGCTCCTCAGACACCCTATACAAGGTCACTGAATCAGAACAAACTCGACAGCACATCACCACCAGGATAAGCACTGGACTGCTAACCACAAAGCCAGCGGTTCAAACCCACCAGCTACTCCTTAGAAACCCTATACAGGGTCACTGAGTTGGAATGGACTCGAGGGCACTTAACAATAACAAACAAAATGAAGGAATTTAAGATAGATGAAAGAGACTGTCAGCCTGCACAGACATCATGGAGGGTTTCCCGGAGGTGGCATCAGAGGATGTCTGAGCGGAGCTGGCATTTGGAAGTCTCAGGGTTAATGGAAGCCCTGGGGGATGTTTGAGGAGAGACCCACCTGAAGCAGTTGCGGTGGTAGAGCTTGCCGTCCACCAGGTGGCGCTGCACGAGGTGCACGTGCTTGCCGCAGGCTGCACAGGTACTGCTGACGGAGCTGCCTGCGAGGGTCGGACCCTTGGGGAAGGAAGATTCCGGGGGTGTCTGAAGGCCTGCGGATACATCCGAGTCCCCCACGCACGCACCCGCTCCCAGGGCCAGGACACGTGCTTATCTAACCCAGCCCTCCTCAGAGCCACTGTGGAGCTAAGAGCAGAGGACAGGGTTCCAGTAGGACCCCATCTGGCAGGAGCCTCTAGTGTGGCCCTGAGAGGGGAGTCAGGGCTTCTGCTGATGGTCCCGGGAGTCAGAGGGCAGATTCCAGCGTCCCTTGTTTCCACCCAGCCCCGCAAGAGCAGAAATCCAATCCAGTTCCCAACACCCAGTGTCACGTTTGCTCTATATCCACCGAGCCGAGTATGGCGGCCGCCGGACAGCAGGGGTCGCCCAAGCACAAGTTATCTCCCAGCCTCAGTCTCCACCTTTGAAAAGTGGGATCTCCTACATTCCTCCTCAGGGTTGGCCTGCGAAATAGAGGCCACCCCAGTACCCCTGTATGCAACCCCCCCCCCAGCACCAGGCCAGAGGACATATCTGAGCCCATTTAAAAAATGTCTCTGCTTCAGCTTACCCATCTGTAGAATGGGGTTGCAAACCTCCTTATCCTCTATGACTGAAGTAGCTCTGGGTGAGCAAGACCGGGGAGCGATGTTTAAGAAGTGCTGAGGCTGGACCCTGGACTCTCAGGGGAGACTGGTTCTACCCTGCGTCTTTTGTTTTGGGGTTCTCCACTTCCATGAGCCCCACCTCAATGGGAGCTGGTGGAAAACCCAAGATACTGGTGGAGGGTAGGTGGGGTGCTTACAGCCTTTGTAGGAGGAGAGTCCTTTGTCCCTGCAGCCCTCCCCTGGACAATGGGGTTGGTCCTGGCGGGGGACAGTGGTGGGCCCCGAGGCAGGCCAGGTGAGGACAGCTGAGCTGGGGTCTTCTTCCCAGATGGTTCTGCCTCCGAGTCCGACGGGGGCCTCTTGATACCAGCCATGCCCCCAACTGGCATGACAGAGACAGGAGGGGATGAGGGAGACTTGCATCTTCCACCCCTTTCCCAGGAGGGCCCCCCACATGGAGGCACACAACATGGGGCCTGGCAAATACAAGGTGGAGGGAAGATGACCCCTCCTCAGCCACCACTCCCTGGGGAGAGAAGGGACTTTCTATTCTCCAGAAATGGGGACTTGAAGACGGGCTGGCCCCTTGCCCAGGTGATTCCGGGGATTTCTAAGGCATAGATGAAGAATGTGGGGGTGGGGAGGGGCTAGAACAAAGGGCCCAAAATAGTGCGGTTGTGTCTGGGCCTGCTCTGCCTGGCTCCTCCCACCCTGGCCCTGCTGGCAGTCAGAACAAAGACCGTGGAGCAAGGCCTGCAGACTGCCAGAGTACCCAAGGAGAGCAATGGCACAGACCAGCAGGGAGGGGAAAGCAGAGCCTGCTCCAATATGGGGTCCCATTGGGAGGGCATATCACTTGCAGGATCAGGGGGCTCTTCTCTCCTGCCCAGGCTGGTGGGGAGCCAAGCCTAAAGGCCCACAAGGCAGGGTCAGCCCAAGGCAGGCAGCAGCACTTACTAGGAGATCGACCATGGAAGTAGTTGTAATACTGGGACGTGTAGGTCAGGATGCTCAGCCGGTCGGGCACCTTGAGGGCCACCATGTCCTCAGCATCCAGCAGGGCTGGGATGCCCAGCTTCTCCTCAGCCACACGGAAGGCCTGGTAGGTGTGCAGACGGGGGACAGTGGTCAGCAGGGGCTGACAGAAGACCACTCCAAAGGTCCAGGTCTGAGGATCGGGCTCTGCTCGGCCTGTGTGTGCTCCCTGAGCCTTGGTTTACCGGTCTGTAGAATGGGGCCACAATCCTGACCATACAGGGTGGGCCATCTTGGTAAGGGAGAACTAGGGTTTCAAATCACCCTAAAGATGCCACTGAACCCCTCACACACCCCTGAACCCACACCACTGTGGTCAACACTAAACGTTAGATGGTTGGAAGCAGGTCTCCCTATAGGAGCTGCTGGCATTGCCCAGACCCCACTGAGCATCCCTGGGCCTACTGGGGATACAAATGTAGCCTGTGTCCTCATAGCCAAAGCAAAGAAGGAGACCGAGATAAGAGGGCTGCTTGGGCAGGGCAACTGCATTTATATTGTGCCTACTGCATACCAGGAGTCCTGGTGTGGTGCTGTGGCTTCATGCTCTGGACTGCAAAGTCAGTTTGAACCACAAGGTCAGCGGTTCAAGCTCACCAGCTGCTTCTCGGAAACCCCACACAGGGTTGCTATTGATCGGAAACAACTCAACGGCACTTACCAACAGTAACTGCATACCAGGCATCGCAGATCTCTGCTGGCAGAAGGCTCTCTCCTAGCTCCACTCCCACCCTTCAAGCATTGGCCCCAACTATCTTTGATTCCATGGGGACCTCCAACTCCTGACCCTACAGACCTCCAGGTTGGGAAGGATCCACAAATGGACTGCTCCTATCAGGGTGTGGGGCTGGCCCCCTCCCTACTCCTCCCCTACCTCTGTCCTTGGCTAAACTCCAGGGTCCATCATTCCAGCTGTTGCTCTGTCCCCACCTCACCCAGCTGACTCGGTTGGGCTCCGGGGACCCAGTGCTGTGGATACACCTCCCACACCTGCTTCCCCACCTGTCTATACCCGGGTAGCCTTTAGACCAGGACTCCAGGGGGGAGGCACTAACAGAACTCACGCTAACCTGCCCCTCTGTTCAAATCTCAGCCCTTCCACCCCCCAGCCTCACGCTCAGGGGACCAAGGCACCAGAAGCCTCAGGAGACCCCTGAGGTGCCCCCCATGTGTCCCTGCACCAGGGTTTCCTGGGCTTGCTAAGACCCTCCCCTTCACTGCCCCAGCCAGTCAGCACATTCTCTCTCTCTCTCTCTTTCTCCCTGTCCATCAAGTGACCCTTCTAGAACATTCCGCATGGAAACTTCCCCCATTGACAGAACAAAAGTCATCTGTTGATGTCACTTCTGAGGCAGGCTCCCCATGTTTTCAGAGTTCCTAATGCAACAAAAGTCCCTGGGAAAAGCCTTGCATATTTTCTGCTTGTGACTCCTCTCCCCGCCTCTGCCCTAGAATCCCCTCGGCACCCGGCTCCCCATCTCTCCCCCTTCTCTCAAGGCCCCATCGACCTCATGTTGCTCAATCCCGCGGTCAGACTGTGGCCTGGCCTCTCTGGGCCATCACTAATTTGGATATGGCGGTCACCCCTGCCCCTGGACGTGCTGGCTTTGGTCCCCTCACACCCACTCTCTCTACCCCTGGGACTTTAAATCCCATCCTGAAGCCAATTTCTAGCTTCAAGCTCCTATTCAACTCCATGTGACCTCTCAATGTAATTGAGCTCAAAATAGGATTCCTGGAGACTCCCAGACCTGGTCCCCCAAAGCCCTGCCCTGTCTGGAATCAGAACCCCTTCCAAATGCGCCCAGTACCAACACCCCACTACATCTCTACCGCTATGGTCACAGCATTATTCCCTTGCATCTCCTTACCCTCCCACCCTCATCTCCCTGCCCCCATATTCATCTCAACATCCCGAGAGACCCTGTGAATCCAGGAGCTGTTCCCCATCACCCCTCCAAGACCTTCTCACACTCAGACACCAACATCCTCACCAAACCCCATTCCTCAGTACCCACTCCCTTTGCCCACTCATTCCAGCCTCTCCAACAAACCTCAGGGCCTTTGCACCAACTGTCCCTTCTTCCTCCACTTCTCCGAGGGGCTCCTTCCTGACCTTATCCCACATGCTTTCCCCCAGCATCGCCTTCTCCATTCCATATCCCCACAGTACTTATTCCCCAGCCAACAACCCACGATAGCACCCTCAGCTGGCTCAGTGGAGCTGTCTGCAGTGGCAGTGGATGCCACATTCTGTTGTTCTGCTCTGTACTGCCCCACAGAGCAGCCACCATTATATGTGTGGTCAGAGCCACCAGACTCCCTCTTTAGTTTCATGTCATTTGACTCATTTAAATTGAATAAACATATGAGGCTGCACTGAGGGTTTAACCAGGTACCTGTTCCCTGCCCCACCCACTGAACATCATCAGCCTCATGAGGACAGGTAAGGGGTTCAAAGGAGGTCAGGGACATTTGCAGAGTGAATGAATGAACTAACTAATGGAAAGATGGATGTTGGGGCCACAGGAGGTCAAAGGGACATTTGCAGATGTGAATGAATGAATGAGTGAATGAATGAATGGATCGATGTTGGGTCCACAGGAGGTCAGGGAACATTTACAAAGTGAATGGATGGATGGATGGATGGATGGATGGATGGATGGATGGATGTTGGGTCCGCAGGAGGTCAGGAGACATTTGCAGAGTGAATGAATGTTGGGGTCAGCAGAAGGTCAGGGAATATTTGCGGAATAAATGAATGCTAGTGTCAGGAGGAGGTTAGGGGACATTTGCAGAGTGAATGAATGGAGGGATGGATAGATGGATGGATGGAGGGATGGATAGATGGATGGATGGATGGATGGATGTCTTTCTGCACACCAGCCCAAAAGTAACAATGAAGCTGATTATCAGTGCAGCAGGAGAAACAGGATGAACACCGGGAGAAGGCAGGACAGGACTAGGATGCACACTGGCCAAACTCCAGGGCCAGCAGTGGGTGCAGCCAGAGGGCAACAGGACAGGACTGGGGACAGCTGGGCCTCCCAGAACCACCTCATCCTGCCAGCCTTGGGTGATCTGGGCTGGGCCTCTGAAGGGAAGAGTTCACTGGCCACTTCCTGTCTCCTCTCACCCAGAGAAACCAGGGCTGAAACATGAGGATGTGTCTCTAGAAGTTTGTACGCAGATTCACTGACTCCAGGTGGGATTCACTGTGGATCTCAGAGCAAGCCCCAGCCTTGGGTACCCATTGGCAAGGGAGCCACAGAGCATCCAGCAGCCCTTGGACGTCGGTGGGATGCAGACAGACTCGGGCTGGTCCAGCTCTGAGGCAAGGCTTCAAGGGCAGGTGCGGGGTACTCACCAGATTGTTGTTCTCATAAATGTTTTCTTTCCTGAGGGCATCGAAGTCTCTGGAATATAAAAACACAAGTGTCCAAAACCACTCAGAGTCCAAGCAGGCAGGGCTGCAAGAGCCACTGAGGTCATCTTGCCCAATGAGGAAACTGAGGCTACAGTGGGCCCCAGGGCAGCATGTCTGACCCTGCTCTGGGCACTGTAGCACTGCCAACACATCTGGTCACCTAGTGCACAGGTGGCCCTCCATCAGTGCCCCCGGGCCAGCCTCACCCACTGCCCTGTCCCCATTAGAGGTGGTAGGAGACAAGTCCTGAGAGGCAAAGCCACCAGCCTGGCCAGTCCAGCCAGGACACAGCTCAGAGTGCCTGGCCTGCCACGCCCTTGAAGCTCAGCAGGAAAAGAGAGCCCGGGGATCAAAACTATGAAGTCTAGTGTATCTATATTTTCTTTTGTTGCTCATGGAGGTAGATGCTATTAATGTGTCCATTTCACAAACAAGGAAAACAGAACCAGGGAGGTTCAGTGACTTAAAAGGGAACACAGAAGCCCAGGCAGTCTGCTCTGAAGCATGGGTGTTTAACATTCAATTGTTTGTTCATTCCCGGAAAGGCTTGGTACAGCACACACTGGGTATCCAGGCTTATCTCAAGGGCTGGGTATCCAGGCTTACCCCGAGGGCTGAAGATAGTGGAGCACACAGTGCCAGCCACAGATCTGGGCATTTCTGGAAAAGTTGAGAGTATAGTAGACATTTCAGGAAGGAGAGGCCGGGGACCTTGGCAGTCCACATCTCACCATACTCAGTGGTGTCATGAGCAGCAGTCAAGACCAAGGACCCAACTGCTTGGCCACAGCTAACTTTCCTGGAGTTTGGGCTGACCCATCCATGTTGCTGTGTGGGTCCCGCAGGGCAGCCTAGAGAGGTGGGCTATGGTCAACGCCTCCCTCCTAGCCCCTCACTTCTCCCTGCTGTCTATCAACCTGCCCAGCTCTCCTAGAACTGCAGACATTTCCCCACCTCCCACCCCACAGCCCACCTCCCAGGTAATGAGCACCAGGTATCCTGACACAGTGAATGAGAAAGGAAGGGAGGAGAGCCCGGTTCCTCTGGGAGCAGGGATAAGCTGGCTCCAGCCTGTCCAGGTCCCCCTGCCCTCCTCCCTGACCATAAAAAGAACTGAGGATAGAGGAAGCAGCAATCTCTCCCAGAGCACAAGACCTGTGGCCCAGCCCATGGCCTCCCCCTCAGCCCCTTCCCGGTCCCCACCTCCATCCCTCCAAACCCCAGCTCTTTCCCAGATGCCCCAGGTCACCGACAAAAGGAGACCAGTAGGAGGTCAGAGAGTTACAGACTATTTTGTCTCCAAACAATGCAAAAGGAGATCCCTCACTGGCCTCTGTCTGATCCTAGAGGGGGCCACATCTCCTTCCTGGATGGTCAGTCTCCACTACAGCATCCAGAGTGAGTTTCTCGAAGCAAAGCAGGGTACCCCCAAGTCAAGACTACACTGGGGCAGGGTCTCTGGTTCACAGATGTGCCCTGTGTAACTCACGTTCAAGGGCCACTGCCCCTCAGCATCAAATCCAAGGTACTTCCGCCTCCTCCAGCCTCCTAGGGGGTGGTGGCTGAATCACCCTGGCCAGTCTCACAGCCACCAGGCTCCCCCTGAGCCTCCAACCTTAGCTCTATGTGTCACCTACACCAGACACCCTTCTCATCTCTGCTTGATGCCCCTATTGGTCACAAAGTGGAGCCCATCTTGGCCTTGGGGTGGTGGGGCCAGTGGGCCCCAGTCTTGCAGCCTGGAAAGCAGCTGGCAGCACCTTATGTTCCTGGAGCTGAGCTCGGAAAGCAGTGTGGGAGCCAAAATGACCAGACGTGGAACGGCCTGCAACCTCACTCAAAAAGCACCTTGAAGATCCTCCTCTGGAAGCCAAAATCAGTGTTCCCTAGCATGGAGACCGGCTGGGTTGGCCTCCACCAGGGGCCTTGCTGGACAAAAGTATCCCTCTAGGCACTAGCTTCACCCCACTCCTCCAGCAGCTGCCCCTCACTGAGCTGCTAGCATCAGGCTTGAGAACTGGAGTCCTCGAAATTTGAATCTCTTTTTAGAATCTTTATTTGCTAGCAGGTCTGCTCTGGGATAGCTCCAAGGTACCAACCATAGTGCAGGACAATGGGTTTCTCTTCTTCTGTGGCCATTCTAACCTCAGTCTTATAACACCCGCAAATGACTGAATTGTTGTTGTTGTTGTTAGGTGCCATCAAGTCAGTACCAACTCATAGTAACCCTATGCACAACAGAAGGAAACACTGCCGAATCCTGGGCCAGCCTCACAATTGTTGCCATGCTTGAGCCTATGGATGCTGCCGCATTGCCAAGCCATCTCGCGGGGGTCTTCCTCTTTTTCTCTGACCCTCCACCTTACCAAACACAATGTCCCTCTCCAGCGACTGGTCCCTTCTGACAATATGTCTGAAGTATGAGAGACGAAGTTTGACCGTCCTGGCCTCTAAGGAGCACTCTGGCTGCACTTCCTCCGACACAGATCTGTTTGTTCTTTTGGCAGCCCATGGCACTTTCAATACTCTCCTCCAACACATAATTCAAAAGCATCAATTCTTCTACAGTCTGAACAGGACTATGCAAATAAGGTATGCAAAACTCTTGCCAGCATGGCTGTTGTTGTTAGGTGCCATTGAGTTGATTCTGACTCACAGAGACTCGAGGCACAACACAGAATGAAACACTGCCCAGTCCTGAGCCAGCCTCACTGCAGCTGTGTTTGAGCCCATTGTTGCTTCTGCTTTGTCAATCCATCTTGTTGAAGGGTCTTCCTCTTTTTCATTGACCCTCCACTTTTCCAAGCCTAATGTCCTTCTCCTAGGCCTGGTCCCTCTTGATAATAAGTTCAAAGTATGAGAAATGCAGTCTCGCCATCTTCGCATCTAAAGAGCATTCTGTCTGTACTTCTTCTAACATAGATTTGTTTGTTCTTCTGGCAGTCCATGGTACTTTCAAATATTCTTTGCCAACACCATAATTCGAATGCACTGATTATTCTATGGTCGTCCTTATTCATTGTCCAACTTTCACATGCATATGAGGTAACTGAAAATACCATGGCTTGGGTCAGGTGCACTTTAGTTCTCAAACTGACATCTTTGCTCTTCAACACTTTCAAGAGTTCTTTAAAAGAAGTCATTTGATTTCTTGACTGCTGCTTCCATGAGGATTGACTGTGGATCCAAGCAAAATGAAGTCTTTGACATCTTCAGTCTTTTCTGCAGCACTCACGATGTCATTTATTGGTCCAGGGGTGAGGCTTTCTGTTTACTTTACATTGATGTGCAACCCATACTGTGGCTGTGGTCTTTGATCTCCATTATAAGTATTTCAAGTTCTCTTGGCTTTCAGCAAGCAAGGTTGTATCATCTGCATATGGCAGGCTGTTAATGAGTCTTCCTCCAAACCTGATGCCAAGATCTTCTTCATAGAATTCAGCTTCTCAGATTATTTGCTCAACATACAGGTTGAATAAGTATGGTAAAAAGATACCTTGACATACATCTTTCCAGAATTTAAACCTTGTTCTGTTTGAACAACTGCCTCTTGGTCTATGTACAGGTTTCTCATGAGCACAGTTAAGTGTTCTGGAATTTCCATTCTTTGCAATGTTATCCATAGTGTGTTGTGATCCACATAGTGGAAAGCCTTTGTATACTCATTAGAGTACACTTTCTGGTATTCCTTCAGCCAAGATCTGTCTGATGTCAGTAATGATACCTCTTGATCCACATCCTCTCCTGAATCCGACATGAATTTCTGGGAACTCCCTGTCGATATACTGCTACAATCTTTCGGATTATCTTCAGCAAAATTTTACTTGCATGTGATATTAATGATATGTTCAATGGATTCCATATTCTGTTGGGCACCTTTCTTGGGAATGGACACAAATATGGATCTCCAATCAGCCAGATAGCTGTCTTCCAAACTTCTTGGCATAGATGAGTGAATGCCGCATCAGTTTGTTGAAACCTCAATTTGTACTCCATCAATTCCCAAAGCCTTGATTTTCACTAATGTCTTCAGTGCAGCTTAGATTTTCTCCCTTCAGTATCATCAGTTCTTAATCATATGGTACTGCTTGAAATCTTGAAATGGTTGAACATTGACTAATTATTTTTAGTATAGTGACTGTGTGTATTCCTTCCATTTTCTTTTTTTATTATTATTTTAAGTTTTTATTGTGAATTGAGTGATACTTTACACGGGAGAACATCAGCTTTACACTAATCCTATCATATTTAGTTTTATTACAATGATTACAATCCCCTCCATGCATCATCATTCAACAGCATTTGCTTCCATTCTCTCTGGTTTTTTTTTTTTTTTGGATGTACACCGAAGCACTCAGGAATATATAACCATTCAAACAACCAAGGGTACACCCCGCAAGTCTACCCCGTAGGTGTCAGCACACAGACCCTCTCCTTCCCTGACTCCAGAATCCCCAGCTACTCCACCTCGCCACACCATCTTCTCTGCCTCCATCTCTGGCATCACTGTTTCTCTGAAGAGGGTTCCACACTCTGCTCTTCTCCCTTAATGGTCCCAGAGTCCTCTGCTCTTGGAATGCAAGGTCAACCACTCCCCTCCTTTTGTTACAAAATGTCTACCTTTGTATTTGCAATACTCACAATCAGTTCTGATAGCAATTATTCACTATTGAACCACAAGAGTCTTATCCCCATGTCCTTTCACAGTCCTGTCCAGACAGGTTGGAAACCACTCAGTGGAGATTCTACCTTCCCCCGCACCCTCTAAAACTAAGCTCCCTCTTTGGGTAGCCTTTGTAGCTCCCCCATTTTGGGTAATCAATGTCTAAGTTGCCCATCCCTGTCAACAATGTGTACAGAGGGGGTGGGAATGATCCTCACTGTAAAGATTAGTTCCCTTTTTTGAGCTACTACATCTACAAATATAGGTCAAATTCATCACATTGTAGCAGATTACTCTTTTTTTCCTCTACTTTCTTCCTCTAGTCG